GCCACTAGTTGGGCTGATGGGACTTGTAGTCTCTCTGGATGTAGATTTGTTTCCACTGTTTGGGCTAATGGGACTTGTAGTCTCTCTGGGTGTAGATTTGTTTCCACTGTTTGGGCTAATGGGACTTGTAGGATCTCTGCTTTTCCTTCTTTTAGAGCGGGAGCCCGTTCTGCTGGGACCTTTGGGCAGCTGATTAATGTTGTCAGTCGTCTTTGAAGAATCGGGCGTTCCTTTAGCTGATAAGTCTAATTTAGCACTCTTAGATTTCACACCCTGATCTCCTGCTTGATAGGTCACTGCATCTGTTGTCTTAGAGTCGGTCGGTTGCTCATTTGGAAAGAAAATATTTACCCCTACAGACGTGGTATGTTGTCCATCTGGTTTTATTGTTATCTCTGACTTTGCTGTCTTCTGCTCCTTCGCATCCAGTTTACCCTGACTGTCCCGTTCTGGCAACTCTACAGCAGCGGCTGCCACAGAGGATGTGGATTTTTGAGACATTCCTGTCATGGTTTGCTTCTGAAGCAGTGTGGGATTAGCCTCTGACTTAGATGCCTCCGTTAAGTTCCTCACTCGTTCCTCGATTGTCATTGTTTTCTCCCCAACGAGTGACACAGCGTTGGACTTGACCGGGCCATGGCGTTCGGCTGATCTTGACCTCGGGAATGACAACTCTGGAATTGCTTTCAGCCTGTCTGTGCCTTTCCTGACCGGAGAGACGTCGGCGCTCCTCGGGGTTTGGAAGGTCTTCTTGAAGCCTCCCACCCCCTGCTGGCGCTCAAAGAGGCTGATTTTATCTGTGATCCGACCGACCACTGATTTTGGCTCCTCTGTGGGTTTTTTCGGGTCTTGTAGTCTGTGTATGAAAAGAGGTAAAGAACATAGTTTAATACTCAATATAATTTTTAAATATTTAAAGTTGATTTTTGACCCTTTTTTTATACACAAACCTCAATTTTCACCCTGCCCAAAATTAACGTGATCTGTATTACATAGTGATCATCTTGAAGCGTTGGGCTGTACTGTATGCTGTGACTCACACCATTTATTCATTGTGGATACACCTGTCATTTTCCACCCATAGCACACACATTCCCTGCTTTGACATTAAGGTTGTGTCAGACAAAAGCCTGACAGGTAGGTTTGTCTGCGTTGGGAGATTCACTAGCAGAACAATAGAACATCTATTCAAATATACTGACATTTTATTCTCAGTTTCATTCGTTCACAAATCACACTGTTCTCCGTCTCACTTGTGGGACTAATAATAGACTCCTTATCTTATCTTAACTTTAACTCACCTTGCATTAGTCTCCGGTTTGGGCTTGTCCTTTTCTTCGCCTTTGTCATTCTTTAACTCCGATTTATAATCCTGGCTGTCTCCCACTAGATTTTGCGCGGGTTTCAGCGGCACATGTTTTCTAAAGAGCTTCACCTCGCTCCGGGAAACTTTCATACTCCTGCGTTTAGACTCCGGCGTCTCCGTCTTTCTCTCCACTTTGTAAAGGCTGTCGTCGTCGTCCATGTCTGCGTCCCCATCAACCGCACACACGAGTGTGTCTGCAACGTCTGAGTTTGAATCCTGGAACTTGTCCAATTGCTTGTCGCTATCAGAGCAGGAAGTCTTGTTTTCCCCTCCCTTAGGCAAGGTCTGAGAGGTGAGGTTTTGATTGGGGGAGGAGTTTTCAGAAGACTCTCCCATGTGGGTGTTTGGACTTTTGCCCTGAGGACTGGTCACTGAGTTATTTGTTGAGAGGGAACCCTCTGGGACAGGCTGTGCACCAGGAGGCATTTTCTCCTGGGGGCTGCTCCCCTCATCTCCCTGAGAGTTCTTCCTGTGTCTCCTCCTGGCTGCATTTTTACGCCCCATGCTGTCTGCCTCTGTTTGCTCTTGATCAAGTTCTAACTCTGAGTCTTTGTGTGATTTCAGTGGCACTCCCACTGGAACACTGGAACAATTCTGTGCCTCAGCTGCAGGCTTCACATTTGTCCATCTGCTCTCTGCACTTGTTCCTGTTGGGCTGTTTGGTGGATCAAAGCTAGGGGATGATCTTGTCTTTGATGGGATCTGTAGGCTTTCTGTGAATTTAGTGCGGATGACTTCCTGTGTGGAATAAGAATCCTGGCCGTGGTGTATCACACTGGTCTCCTCCAGGTACACATGGAGCCTCTTGCCTGCCCGGGCCTGTGCTTGTCTCTGGGTGTGGGCCCGGTCAGCGCCCTGTTCAGAGGAGGAAAAGAGATGTGTCAGATGACTGGCATTCCTCTCAGGATTCCCACTTGCCGAAGCACTGTGGCTGCTCTCCTCCCTCCCCTCGCTCCCCACAAACTCCTCCTCCTTTGGACCTCCCTCTCCTGTCTTAGTGCTACTCACAGCAGAGTCGTGTCTGCGGGCAGACTGCGTGGCGTCCCTCTTCTCACAAAGGAAACTGTCTCTGGAGAGTCCCAGCGGATTGGGACCGAAGCTGTGGTCCTTCTCCTCCTCCTGCCACTGCTGTTCCCCCACCCCGGGTCTCACAGACTCCTTGCTCTCCTCGTCTTCCCCTGACCCACAAGCCTGATCACTTGTTGGAAAGTCATTTTCAGTTGGACTCTTTGGACCCTTTGCCTTCCATGGAGAGAGCCAGCTCCCGATACGGCCCAGGACCCCAGTACTCGGCTGCTCCTCGGGGCTGTCAGACTAAAACCAAAGTGGAGAAATGACTTACATGAATTCCTGCTTACACTTTAGCATCTGCAATCAATAAACATGCATTTTTCAAAATGAACATGTGCAAACTATCATGATAGTTATGCAAATATCATTAACTGCCATCGAACAAAGGGAGGGAGTGCAGGCTTGGCATCAAGAGTAAATATGAGATTATTTGTTTGGGATTATTTGTTCACAGACATTTTTTAGTACGGCCATGCATCTCTCAGCACAGCAAAGACATGCAGGAGAGCTTATAACCTGTGAGCTTACCGTAGAAAATACCATATCATTCAGACTCTTTATGTAGGTGTTGAACATGATTTTGGTTTAGAACAAAAACTCCTACAGAGCATAAAACAAAAACAAAATCATTCCACCAGGATAACCAATGTAGCAGAGAGAAAGAGAAGAAGTTCATCATAAATTCTGCCTCAGCAAAGTGAAAGATCCAATCATAAATCTGTACTTAGCTGCAATACTTTTTTTTTTTAGTTGTAATTTAAAAATCAACTCACCCTTAATTAGACATTGAAGAAAACTTTTCTCCCCCCTGCAGCATGTAAAGGTCAGTTTGCACAGATTGAAATCTGCATCATGGTGTCTGTCAATCAGATATTGTGTTTAATCCTCCCAGCATCCAGTGAAGCATCCACAACTGCACAAGTGCGTTAGACTGAGGCATTGGAGATATGAGTGTTGCTGAAGTTCTGCCTCTCCACACAGCCAAGTGGTTAAACTGATGCGTTTAAGTGCACCTCGGAAACCCCATACGCCAGTGCCTGGATTGATTATATAGCTGAGTTAAATAGTGATTTTTATCAGCCACCTGATCGCAGAATTTTGAATTGTATTTTGAATTGTAGCCTATGAGTCACAAAAGAGTGGTTGTTATCACCTTCTGAGTCAAAATGTGGTTCTGGATACACCTATTCCAGTGGGAACTACCACGCAGGAGGTAGTGACATTGAGTTTTTATTTGTGGGCAGATTTTGTCACCATGATTGCATCACAGTCGTGCAACATGGAGTCACAAAACTTAAACTGAGATGCAAATAAAGTCCAAATTCACTGATAACCCCCTCGCTCTCACAGACTGGGAGTGAATGGAAGGTGAAGGCTCGCCTTAGAGATATTCACGTTTGTGACTGGGCCCATAATAGGAAAAATTATAACGTCCTGACCTGACTTTCATACATACATATATATATTTAAATACATGTACATATGTGTCTGAGACTGTTTGTTCCAGAGTCACTGTACATTTGCTAATACACGTATATATCTTGGTTAAAAGATAAATAATATGTGATGTAGCTATCTTTGATTATATGTGCACTGTAATAAGAATCAATGTATGCACCACCTGTACACATATTAGTGCCATCTATTTGTTGTTCTGCTTTGGAAACCAAGCAACACAGACAGTTCATACCATTCCATTTCATGTGTCAGCCGTACAACAAACAAAAAGGATTATGAAACGCTGAATGTGAACAGAGAACAACATGTTTGAGATATCCAGGTGTTAACTCATCACAACTTGGCAAAAGAATCAAAGCATCCCTGAATTGTCAAATATGTGAGACACTCGCTAGACATCAGGACAAGTGACTCCAACTTTGCTCTTGTGGTTGTCCTTAATAGTCTGTCACGTTTCACAGCAGATTGGTCTAATATTACACTCAATGTTTCCAGCATTAGTCCAGAATAGACCTATTGTGCATAAATGAGCAGCTGTGAATATTTTAGTCAAACGACCCGCTGGCCTAAATTTGCTAAATCACCTTGTCCGGGTCTTTTATGGTTGCTGCTCTCGAAATTCCCACGTTTATTTGAGCATTCGAAGGCACCAAGGAGGCCATGTCCAAACAAAGTTTTCCAGGGGAAATGACGCAGTGACTGTGGGTTTCTCAGCCTGTGCACTTCACTTTTTTTTTGTTTTTTTCCAGAATCTGCCTGCCCTTGTTTCACTTGGCGCGCCGCTCAAGTCAGTCTTTCCATACTGCAAAGACAAATAACTTAACCCTTTGTCTTCTCCTGTCTGGGTAAAAACTCAATTTTTCAAATTTTAAAATAAACAGCACCTTGACAACACTTTCCAATATTTGCAGAATAACAAAGAGCACAGAAAAAGTACATATAACATGCATATAAATAATTCAACACTTATGCACGTTAATCATAAAAACATCTTTATTAGCTGAAAAGTTTGGTGTCACACAAATAAAAGCTAATATTTTGTGCAGATTGAAACATTGCATTAATTAGTTTGTACGTGATGACGTCAGTAACTTGGAAACTCATGTGCTAGAATTCCTGCAGACTTTTCGCAGTCGGCAGACATTTTGTGATTATTCCGACACCAAATGAATCACAATTACTCCATCTGGCCTGTAGGTGGGGATGTGGCCCTCACAGACTGCCTGATGTTTGTTTGTTTGTTTTGATAAAGCTTGTCATGTTGGATATTGATTTCGAGGCTTGAATGCTTTCGGAGTGGTTTGACCTTAGATGTTCACAGATGAAATAAAAACAGTTTCGGAGATAAAAATCTGATCTGATTTGAAAAGCTTCTTTTTCTTTTAACCAACCACTTCAAAACATGCAACAGGTTTCAACACAACACAAACAGCAGCTCTGAAGCTTCAGTGGAGTCAGAGCGGATTTAAAAATGATGTTGGTCGGTTTATACCTGATGACGTCAGGAACTTTATAAAAAATGTTTGGCAGACTTTTCAAGTGCTTGTTCTGACTTGATGCTACTTTTCATAGTCAGGAACTGATTTTTACCATTATTCCGAAGCCACGTGAATACACAATTACTCCACCTTGCCTATAGGTGGGGGTGTGGCTTTTCTTTACATATATATATATATATATACCTTTTGTTGTTGGACATTATTTCAGAGGCTTGGGTGGTTTAGATGTTACAATGATAACATCAACCTGCTTCGTTTCATTTGGATAGATTTCTTTTCCTGTAACCGCCCACACAAAACATCGAACAGGTTTCTCCAAAATAAAGGGCAGCAGCCCTGAAGCTTCACTGCACAATTTAAAGAGCGAAAAAAAAAACCACGTAAGCCCCGAGTTCATCCCTTTACGCACGTCACCAGAGCCTCAGAGAAACATCTTACCATGATTAGAACCGTCCCTCCAGTGTCTCCCCGTCCTTAGGTCTAACGCAGCCGCTGCAGAAGCACTTCACACGGGTCGAAGTCTTCCAGTGCCACCTCGTCCTTGGGGTAATAACCTCGTCCTCCTCCGTGCGTCCTGGGCGCACAGGTCTGATGAATATTCAGTGCGCTAAAGTTAGAAAGCACCAAGGCTGACTGTGGCTGTGGTTTACACCAATTGTGTCATGGTGACTTTTTGGAGGAGTTTTTTTTTTCCTGACGGGCTGACGGTAGGTGGAATCTGCCCCGGCCAGGTACCTAACACACACCCCAAGGCTTTACAGCACCGTGACACAGCAGCCAGCTATGGAGGTTTTGTGCAACTGCGCCAGGGCCACATGCAAACACTGGCACTGACTGTGACTGTTGCAGGATAAAGTCATACAGACTAACCTCAGTGTTTGCATTTCACATGTAAAAATATACATGTAATATAAACACAAAGGTCAACAAATAAAATGAAATAAAGAGACACCGGACAAAGACAAAAAGAAAAACAATAACGATGCAGAAATCTCCACACTCATTGTGATTGTTTAACAAAGTAAAGTCTTCCACAGTCGTGTAAGTCAGATCTCAGATACCATGTGGATGTGGGCCACTTCAGGCAATGATGCAGCACTTCAGGCCTTGTTGTTGGCGTTGAGCCTTTCAATATCAAATTTGGCCCAAATATCCCCCCCAAAAATGTGGGACAAAAAAGGGAGTCAGGTTAAAAAAGAAACTGAAAACACGTTCCTTGTTTTCTTTATTTGGTTTCTCTGTTTATTTTGTTTCTCTGTTTATTTTGTTTCTGCTCTTTTCATATCTTTGTTTGTTGCTTGATTGAAATGACTTGTTTTGTGTGGTAGCCGAAGCGGAGTGGAGCTAGTTTAACATAAAATTATCGATACGTTCACACTTCATTCCTCTGACATAAAATATGCATTTAAATTTTTATTAAATTATCAAATGCCAGAATAAACTTTTCATTAATGCATTCATTCAATTCCATTCATGTTCACTCATATTGTTCTTAACTTATCTTTTCCTTTTTTAACAGAGGACCTATATTTGACTCCGGCCCCACTTTTAAAACCAACAGGTAACATCTACACCTCACACACTTTTTATTCACACTGAGCACATTCACCAATATATGCAAACTCCCCCACCTCTGTCTGCACCTTTTCATCATTTATTAATGTGCAACAGAAACTGAAACCTCTCTCCTTCTACACCCTATGAAATATTTACACTCACCTTTCACATGTTTTAACTCTTACCAATGCCAAAACACACACAGCCTAACGATAGCAAAATGTATTTTTAAAACTTTATCAATATATACGAACAATTAACACAGATTCCCATAAAACATCTCTCTAGAATGGACACAGTATTCTGTAAGTGGAGACGTATGTTGTATTTTAATGAGTGGGAAACACATAAAATACACAAAAGACATATTTTTACTATTATTAGTTATTTCAGGAACTTCATCGTACAGAAAATCAAAGTTTGTAACCTGTTTTCTCTGGTTTTATCTCGGAGCTCATAATATTCATTTTCATTGTGAAGTAGTATTAGTAGTATTGTATTGTACAGTAGGCAAATGCTAAAATGTAGCAGGGTTTTATCCCCAGTGACACATATACGCCTGTTTCCCTTTTACGGTTTAAAAAAGTTCACTCTGTTGGTACATGCTCAACCGTGCTGATTTCACAGGATCTAATCCCCCGGAGCTGCGTCAGTCTAGTTCTACTGGTTTGAAACTAATTAAAAAGTTAAACAGACAAGTTGAAAAAGAAAAACCCTGACAAAAACATGTACAGAGTGATTTTCTCTTCACCTCCACTGGCTCCACTAATTGATCTGGATTGTAAAGATTTGCAGGAGAACTTGAGGGGGTGAGTCACACATTCTGCTTTACACTGTCACTTGAAATATTCAGTATATAAAGACTTTATTTTAAAAATTCATCCATTACCACAGAATCCCTTTCCCTGAGTCACACTCAGACAGTTTCAGACGTGCTCACCTGGCAGCTGCTAACAACAGCCAGCTCGCTTTTTGTTGGGCTGAGTGACAGAGAAAGAAAAACAGTTACTCGCTCTCTGTTTCCACCCAGATTCTTCTTGCTTGGCGAGAGCTGTTTGAGTTGGCAGCCTGCTGGGGCCAGACGCCGTTCTTTTGAAGTTAGAATACATTTTTTTTTAATGCTCGTCTATCACTCTTGCACCAGAGAGAGGCTCTCGAACTGCAGTCTAATTTAAGGTTGGATTTTCTTTTGTCGAGTTTTTTTCCCCCAAAGTGAGTCTCACCACGGTGTTTGGTTTTGACAGCTGCCCAATTTAGAATAACTGTTTTGGGTGGCTACGCTTTATAGTATCGTATAAACTAAGCTGGGGAATAGTTGGAGATAAAATTAAATCCCTGTCGAATATGCTCCCAAACCCTGCGCTGCATTGCAGAGAGATAAAGAGACTTTTGTATGTAGTGGGTTTGGTGCAGTGACTCATCTGCAGAGCGTTGTCATGTTGTGCATCTGCTAACTCAGACCTTTTACCACCGCTGACGAGCCAAGCAGCATGTTCTAATCCTCCGACAAAACATAACCAGCAGTCATCTCGGTTCATTTGACCTTTAGTCGCGATAGTTGGCTCAGTTAAGCCTAGAAATAATTTCCTGAATTAGATTTAATGAGAAGTTAATCAGAACTCAGTGACATCCCAGTGAATCAGACTGTGGAAGCTTCATCTCAAACTGGTAATTATGTGGTCTTGCAGATATTGTATCACAGTGGCTCTTGCTGATCATGCAGCCTGTGCATGAGTGACACAATATGTTGTCTCCCTGACATTTCTTTTTAACACCCACTGGCTCTTTTTGGGATCATGTGCGTCAACAAAACGCCAATGTTTTCCTTTCTCCCAGCATGCCTCTCTCTGTCTCTCACTCTCTCTCTGTCAGTCGCCTCCCCCGCTGCTGCTCATTTGTTGAAGCGTCACTTCAAACTCAACAACTCTGAACTACAAGGCCTGCAGGGACCGCAGAGGGGCATTTGGTGAACAGAGCAAATGGCAGACTCCCCACGTGGAATGGATTCGACTCCACTGCCCCACCCACTGGTTGTTGACGCTCACTGCACAAAGGCAATCTGCAGGGGCATGTGGAGCCTGGAGTCCAGAGCATGCCCCTCCTGAGTGTTTTAATCTCACACATTGAGTTTGAAAAAACAACAGAATCTTGATAAAGTTTAAGATAATGCTATGTGTCATGATAAATTCATTGTTTTCCGTCCTTCAGAGGACGCAGTCCATGTTGAAGGAGGTGGCTAAAATGAGAATTAAAAGTATTTCTTATTTCCAACTCTCGTCCAACATAATTTGCAGATTTTGTTTTCTGCTCACTATCGGACTTCTGAAACCTGAACCATTTTCATATAACGGAGGTCTCACTGGGGTTTTTTTATCAGGTCCTCCCCCTTCGGTCTTCTCCATAAAAAGCGTTATGGGCTGTCACATGTTCAAGAAGCTCTGTTGGCACCTGAAAATGAAGTCTTCTTCTTCCTTACAGCAAACTTAGCATGGTTTAATCAAGCATTGCATCCTCCCACTGGTGCATCAATGCCACTGAAGATCAATGAGGGCTCCACACCAAAATCCATGCCACGGGGCAAACTCATACATGTGTGCATACTCTCTGCACACTTTATCCACCAGCAGTTAGACGTACATTCAGTTTCTCCATCTTTTGTTTTCTAACAAATGCTCTCAGCTTTCTCTTCTTTGCTGTTACACAGTGGTCCTGTATTTAAACTAAACACTAAAACTGTGATTCACTGCTGCTCTCCTTCTCACCACCAACCAATTTAGATTCTCATTACCACAGCAACCTGCCCCCCTGATGTGGTAATTACTTTATTTTGAAGTCTGGTCACCAGGAAATAGGGGAATGTGGTTAAATCAATTGTTTTATGTGCTGCATCCTTTGTGCTGTGCTTCTCACAGGTCTCCTCTCACAGGCCACATGTTTTATTTATCTGATGGTAACTTCAGCATGATATGACCTCAGACATTAACCTGCTGCCTACACATCGTTTTACTGTCTGAGCTCCGCGGCCTCTTTTCAGAGATAAGTGGACCTGACTGAGATCTGAACTCTCAGATATTTTGTAATCCTTCTCTGGTGTCATGACAGATACACTTCTGAACAATACTCAGCTGTGCAGGTAAAATGAAAGTTGGCAAAACACTTATATTCTAGAATATAAGTGTTTTGCCAACACTTATATTCTCAGCCCAGTGACAACAGGCATACGTTATATTTGTGCTGTATGTGGTGTTCTGGGCTCAGCAAGTGGAAAGAACTTTTCAATTAACAGAATTTTATTACCAATTTCCAGAATTGTTCCCGTGCCAGCTGCCGTAATAGATCATTGGTCAGAGACTAATTAATTGCTTCTTATGTCAGAATGTGATAATGCTGTAAAATAATTAAAGAATAACATTCCCTGCCGGTGAGCTTACACCAGGAGCAAAGAACACAATGCACTGACTTAATTGCCAAAGCCTTTCCTGCAAATTGTTCTGGGAAATGAACTAATCGCATTTGTTCAGCTTGGTTGCAACTGCCTGCCCTTTTCAAAAAACACAAGATACTATATGTGAGACGACCTAGTGTTGGAACATGTATTTCCCTGGGGTGTCGGGAAAAGATTTAGGGGTTGTTTGTCAAAATCTGAAATAATGTCAAGTATGTGTTAATGTTGATTGACTCTTTGGCATTTCCACAACGTCCTCCCATCAGCCAAATATATTGTGCATTTGCTGAAATGTGACAACAATAGCTGGCAATGATCATTTGCATAATCACCACCTGAAAATGCAAAGTAATATGATTTGTTTTGACTTTAAAACATGAATAAAAACACAGACAGGAGTGTGGTTCTCCTCAGGAGGAGCTTGTACGTGTTGTTAGCTCAAATCTTCCCAAACACTGATGCTATTACAAAATACATTTTTTATAGCTATTACAATCATAATTGTTATGTTATGTTTTTACTGAGTTTATAAAATGTCTTTAATGTGTTTAAAACAAATGTTTTGATAGTTCCGTCTCCCATCTGCTAACATAAAGGAGGCAGGGTATATAAACTGCATAGCTGCCAGCCACTAGGGGGCAATCAAGATGATTTGGCTTCTCTTTTGGGAGCTTTGATATCATCAATCTTTACAAACAGTCTAAGCTCAACTAGCATTAACTTTTATTTTAAACAAGTTGTGAACACAAAGCTCACATATTATCTTTTTCTACAGTTAATATAACATTATAATAGACATTGATACAACACTGTAACATTAGCATTTACTAATAATTGTTTGTTAGTCCGATATCCACTCTGGTCTCCTCTGAACACTGAGCAAAGTATTTGACTGCTGAGATGATTCTGCGTGTGTTTATTACCTGGTTTCTAACTTTGCCTGCTGTTTGGCACTAGGTGGGTGCTATAGTTTTAAGTTTAAGTTTTATAGTTGGGTGTATATTGTGAAATGGTAACAAATGCTTCACTCCACCAATGTTGCGTAGACTTCCAAAATCACATCAGCTTTATTAGTCATCAACATCAGCAGTTATTCACATTATCATCCATGGCCTCTGGTTGCCTATACCCTGTAAAGGAACAATGATATGTTTGATTCGGTGCTACCACAGTAAAAATACACTTCACATTCCATTTTAGAGCAAATACAATCCTATGTTTTTAATCTTCTTTGTTGACAGAGTTGCAGAGAAAATGTCCCCCCTCCAGGATTGCACAAAAAAGCAATTCAACAGCACATCACTCTCTAGTGAATTTTTTTCTATCTGCTCCGGTGTAGTAATTCATCTTTTCCAGAAGCCACCCTCGGAGGAGCTGAAGTAAAAGCTACTGTTTAACAGGAATGAAATGTCTTTTTAAAACAGAGCTGCACTTAATAAGGAACTGTCGGGCAGCATAAGTGCAGATTACTGGCCGATCTGAAAGAATGCTGAAAAACACAGAATGAAAATGGTAGTGTTGTGTGGCAGGTTAGTGTTTTTCTGAGTCACAAATGGACCTATGAAAGGAAATTCAAACTAAATAACTATGTCCTTTTTATGTTTTGTAGTAACAGCGTTAGTAGATGTCACAGGGAGTCACGGTGTTGTTTCAGTATGACGTGCTTCTCGCTCTACAAATCGTCCTCCCCAAGTGTTGAGCTGTGCTCCAAACTCACAAAATTAGGGATGTTGAAGTGGGACATGGAGGCACACTCTCTGTCTCTCTTACTCTCCTCCATTAGTCCCATCATAGGTTGGTGGTGTCCCCCAGCTTCCTCAATATCCTCCTCCATATCATCCATGATTCCTCTGGGCTGGTTGCAGGTGCCCTGCTGGGCTACAGCCCCCGTGTGCCTCCCAAACTTCTTATCTTCTGGGTTTTGTTTCCCCTCACCCTGATCCTCCTCGTTGATAAAGAAATGAAAATACGAGCGGGACCCCTCTAGCAGTGGACGAGAGAAGGCCTTTTCATTTTCATCCTGGACACCGCCGAGGTCCACCAGACATCTCCCTGGTTGATGCCGCTTTTCAGCAGACTCTGGATTTCTGTTTAGGGAAGAAGGAAAGAACTAGATTGTGATTGCTGCAGGAAAAGGCTTTGAAAACACGAGGGGCTTTAATGAAACATATGTATGTAGCTGTCGAACAAATCTACTATATAATTCCAGATATCTCTCTCTTTCTGTATTTGAACCATTCATCTTAACACTTGTCTTGTCTATTGTTGAATTTGATGCAATTTGGTCGCACGATAAGTTCAATATTAATAAAATTAGAATAAGGGCCAGTCCTCTGTAGCAACAGCGGTTGTGACTCATATGAAGTCTTTCACGACAACTGGTTCTCTGCACTAAGTCGAGCTTCACTGAACCTTGAATAAACAGATGAACAGCAACGATGGTGCAGCTCCAGGGTTCTCAGCAGGTCTTGAATACTGCAGGTCAGTTTCAAAACGAAAGATGCAACCAGCATCACCACATGCCAGGCAAACAGGCATGTTCAGAATGGGTTCTGCACCACTGCTTCAGATTTCTTGTCTTGTTTTTCTCTTTTTCACTGTTTTTGATTCTGCATCCTGAATAACACACTAAAAGAAAAAAAAAAGAATAGCGGGGAAAAGAAATACAGCGAGCCAATAAATTCTCTATTTCTTTTTAGCTTGACCTCAGTGCTAGTCTCAGTCTGACCTTATCAGAGGAACTCCTAAGCAGTTTCCACCATACCTCCGAGCAAAATATCAGCTTATCACAGACGGGTACAACAACATTCAGAAAGCCGTCCAACACAATCTGCCGTCAGAATAGCAAACACATCAGTGGAACTCATCGCAGCACTGCCACTCTGTGCTTCTGTACACGTTGTGTTTATCCTCCAGCCCCGAGTGTCTGAGATTGGAAGTGTAAGGGCTGAATTGCCCTGCACTCCTGCAACAGTGAATTTTGTGGGAAACATGGTTTAATACTCACTCCTGATGTGGAGCTCCGGTCTTCGTGAGCAGCGTGAGCACAAAGAACATGAAGATGACAAACACAGCGAGTCCGACCCAGAAGCCGATGACGATGGAGTCTGAAATGCCAGAGAGGAGAGAATCTTATTACAGCAAATGGTTTCAATCATTGACCCCCATCTGCAGGGGCTCCCACAAGAGCAGAAATAATCTATTACTGTTTGAAAGCAGGCATTCAGGATTTCTAAAATCTAATTGGAAGATGACTCCAGCTTCCTCTGTTGTGCCAATTTTTCTTTTTTCATTAAGTTTTGTTGATCATTACAAGTGGAGTGTAGAGCACCTACCAGTCCAGGTGCTGCAGCATCATGTGTTTATTGACAAGCATGTTTATCACTGCTGAGGCAACATGGACCACAATACATGTAATGCACAGGAACCTTGTTTGCTGACACACAAATACTGAACATGCACTAAGAGGCTCGCCCACACGCGGCAGAAACAATGGCAGGTGAGGCATCGTCTTACATCTGTGCGCCCTGAGTCCCTCAAAAGACACGGGCTCCTCGTCGTCATAATACTCATACTGCCACACGTATTCCCCGCGACGCGCGCTGGTTTGGCTCCGGTTGTGGAGGTCGGACATCTCAACCCCCGGTTTGAACGAACCTTGACACAAGAAAAACACACGACATCAATCCAGCGAGGAAGCTGCTGACAGGGCTCATGTTGCCATTTACGCATCGAAGTTTACAAACCACACAATCTTCCCCCTGGTGTTGGGAACAACTCCACTGTCTTTTGGATTTGGGTATTGCGCAAATCACAACTCCTTGGGTGCTACGTCGTTGTTCCGGGATTTTAAAAACGTACCCAAAATGTGAAGATGAGAGGGGAAATCCATCGTTTCACCGTGACGCAAAAAGTCCCTCCATCCCTCTGAGAGCCCTGGAGGAGAAGCAGCAGCAGCAGCAGCTCAGTGCGCGTCAGCCTCATCCAGCCTCCTCTTCACGACAGGCTCATCCAGAGGGAAACTGGGATTGTTCTTCAGGTGTCATGTCAGGAGTGAGGCTGCTGCTAATAATAAGACATGGATATTCTCCAGTGTGAGGAGGTGTGTCCACTGCAGCAGCTGATTAATCTCCAGGTCTATTTGTATTGAACCCTCATAGATAATTAATGCGTTTAATAAAGAGTCAAGACCTTTGGTTGAATACATACAGGACGGTGGGTTTTTAATGTGGGATGAAAATATTACCACTTCTCATATTCAACGGTCTGGAGGATGTAAGAACATTTTCTACAAACACATCAACATCTTGAACCATGAACCAATAGCAATATAAATAAATATATATGTATATATAACTTGTACATTGTGCAAGGGCAGTGAGGAGGATTATCTTCCTCAGAATATAATAATAGTAAGTTTGGGTGGGTGTCCTCATTAGTTTCACATTAGAAATAATAAAAGACCAATCACAGATCTTCTGAAGTTGTTTCCCTCCTCTATGATCATACACCCACTCTTAAAAACCATGCTAATTAATAATACTATTAATTATGCATAACACACCACTTTGTTTGATGAGGGAACAAAAGACATGAATATGACAAAACGATAATCTGGGATGACTCAGTACGGCTCAGTGGCAAAACTCAGAGGAACAAATCACAGATTAACATAATAACACGCAGCTTGATAATAAATAATAAATAAAAAACTGAATCACATATATTCCTTGACTTTAACCTGCTACTGATTTAGTTGTTTTCTGATTAGTTTGTTCTTGTTTCCCAGGATTTCATATATAATGAATTCATGTCAACATTATGTAAAATTACTGATTTTGATGCTAATACAGAAGAGTTCAATGTAGAACATGTGAGTATATAGCACAGACTATATGAGGATCGACTTCCTTCCATTGTACAAAAATGGAGCTAAAATATCTGGTTATGGGTGCCGCCATCTTTAATGACTATAGTGATTGTGGCGTAAAGCCACATGTTCCATCAACTAACATGGAGGAGGTGGAGTTTATGACCTATACCGCAGACAGCCACCAAGAGGGTGATGCAGATTGTTTGGCTTCACTTTTGGGGAGCTGTCATGTCAACCATCTTTATACACAGTCCAACGCCAATGGTCACAGATCCATCAACACCAGAATCACAGGTTCCATTTTTCATGACATTCAGTGAGTGTCAGGAGACTTGGCGGCGCTGTCTGCAATAAAATCAGAGTGTATTTCACAAAGTGTTTATATTGCACGTTACCGACCTGCTGCTGAGGGAAAACCCAAATATATTTTGAGCGTTCGCCGGCATCACCTAAGTTTTGTCGTGACACGTTTGGTGAAACCCCACCATGCACATTTTCATAACCTGCCACCCACCAGGTGCACACATGAATGGAGCCACCATCTGCTGTGGTCAAGCAAGAGGTTCCTGCGAGGCTTCAAACAAAGTGGATTCAACTGAGCAGAGTTTGAAAATGTGTCAGCTAGAGGCAGGAAATGCTTATTAAAATTCAAGCACCACATCACTAAATGAGCCATTTTCATGCCATTGTAAATCTTCACATGAGCGGCAGCCTTTATCAGAAGTCATTCATTACTTTACTCTTTGCAGGCATCCATTCATTCACTGGGCCTCCAGCTAAAAGTATTTTTCCCTGAATGAAAACACTTTTTTTTCTCAGTATCTCAGGCCAAAATCTGTCATATGTCCTGTCGCTGCAGCTTCAAGGTGTTTTAATCACAACCCTGTGATCAGACTATAAATTAAACCAACTGAGGGATTTTAATATTCAGCGTCTTACTTCCAAATATGAGACTGTCAGTCTGATGCCACAGTGGAAAACCCAGGACGGTGTTTGGATGCTTTTTAATGTCTCTTCCCAACAGTTTCACAGTGATTTCTATGATATCTGCTCATGGCAACTACAGTAAGCTAAGATTAGCAAAAAACTGTTGCAACAAGCAGCCTTAGTTACCAACCCGAGCTTTAAGGTAACTAAAAACTCGGTTTAGGATTTTGGAAATACATACTTCTTTAGTCTGAAAGGAGCAGGGCATAGAGCAGTGTTATATATATGAGAAATCCAACCGTGAATTAAAGATGATCTGTCTGTTTGTGCTGAATGAGAAACTAGCTCTGTGTGAAAATACTTCTTGTAGCATTAACACATCCAAGCGTATAAATAAATTACAAGTCTGAATCTGGCAGCGTGCCGATGCTACATTTAAACCACCACGAGGAACCTACTTCTCTGCCACCAGCTGACATCAACACCTCCCTCTTGTTTCTCTGCTGCTTCAGTGCTTCAGACAAAAACACAGGTTATAAACATGGATTCCACTCTCCAGCAGATACCTTTACAAAATGTCAGATAAAGATTTATTTCCTCCTGACCCAGTGTTTCTCATCCTCGCAGTGTCAGGGACTGAGTCAGGAGGCTGCACACAGCTCCGCAGCGCCTGTTATCTCAAGGACTTCTTACTGCGGAGAGCTTTTATTCCAGAAGAAGACAGAGGTGCCCAGTTCTAAATCATGTTTAACTCAGTTGACTCAGGGAATTCATCAAGATAAGCAGCAATTAAATCCCCTATTATTCATTTCATGTTCAGGTTTTCTAATGTTTTCACCCTGTGTGTGTACTCAAATAGCCCCTGCTTGCGCTTAGATTTGTTCAAACACGTATGCTTGCACTCAGATATTTTGTTGCTGGAACAGTTTTCCATTGCTCCAGCTTCCGCTCACTCGTTGCTTCTCTGAGTGCACGAAGCATCTGTTCTCGGTTTGTCTCCTTTTCTCTTGGGTTTTGGAAAAACATCTAATTTGAAGCATCAAGCATTTTCTGGTGAATATGATTTTTTTTTCTATTAAAGTTACACTGAAAAATCGCAGTTCAGAGAAGAACAGCGAGGCTTAAATTGTTTACATATTTTTAATGATTCTCACACAGTTTGTATCTTTGAAACAACCTCCCCTGAAGGCAGGATTTTTCTAAATCAGGGGCCACAATTTAGACTGAGGGGCCAGTTATATGTTATATGTCCATGCACAATTCCTGATTCAGGTGCACTTTTAAGTCTTTGTCTTTGTGTACTTCAATGAAAAATCGTCATATTTATTGTTCGTATAATAAGCTACTAAAAATACTCCTGAGAGAGCACGGGCACTTGAGGGGCCGATCAGATTTCAGCTAAGGCCAATGGCCCCTGGATCAGCCCCTGCTCCTGGGAGGTTTTTGGGGGCAGCAGTGGGTGTGTTTGTGAGTGCGTTTGTGTTCTTATTTTGATGCTCAGTGTGCGACATCAGGATTGCTTCTAGCATCTGGCAAATAATCTAGTGGCTGATAGCGTTTGTTGTTTACAGTTTGTGAATAATTTGCTCTAAAAAGCATAAACAGCAAAAGCATGTGTGTCTGGATGCCATGTATAATCATGTGATTTTTCAAAACAAAAATAGAAAAATGTCATCTGATACTGTGTCACATCGCGCAGTAGTAAAAAGGCTGAAAGATAATCACTCGATCACAGATATCAAATCATGTAAAGACGACCTTGAGCTTGCTCTCATCTCTGTTTTCTGTCGTTCATTTGCAGGCCGACGCTGCAGAATTCATTTCCCTCCTGTCGGTTCTTCTTTGGGCCACAGCTTTGTTCTTCTCTAACTGCAGTGTCGTGGTGAGATATTATGCTGCGCTGGAGTCACAGTGAATATTGCGAGAGCTTTGATCAAAAGGAAAGTGCGTGGTGGTCGCTGGCAGCTAAACTGTCAAAGTTCTTGTCAGTGAGGATTAAAAACTCCTTGTATCACCAGTATGACTGATATGTGCCAGGAACATAGATGTGCCGTTTCAAACTGAAAATGTTGGGACAATTAGGTCCCGACATTTTCTGGCTTTTCACACATGAACAACACAGCAGGAGATTGTCCAGGTCTGAGGCGTTTCCAACAACAGGAAACTCTCTAACTTATAACTTTTGCAGCAGAAGGAACATGTTTTGCCTCTGCCCTTTTCAGCAAACGCTCTTGAAACTTGTTCTCTCTCCAAGTCGACATTTTTGTCTGCGTCCAGCTCTTTTCTTTCATACTGAGGTATTGAATTCTTCCAGTTTTATGTCCATTGCATGTTTGAAAAGTCATCAACACGTCTTAGCTGCTTAGCATTAGTGTATTAGCTTTGGTCTCAGGATGAAAACATTTTATTTAAACTGATTTTAACCTACGCTTCACCCTGGTCCATTTGTTTATCAAAAACTAATTCCATTAAACTTGGTGGAGGGATGGAACATGGGCCAAAAAAGAACCCATTAAAGTTTGGTACAGATCCGGACAAAGATATTTGAGAGATTTCTCAGGGGAATAATAAATGGAACTTGATGGAAAAAGAAATGTAGCAGATGTGGTTTCATAAGGAGGTGTAGTTATTACTGGCCACTAGCTGGATGGATTGTGAACTCTTTCAGTTGAACAGGTGAACTTGTTTTTTTTCGACATAATCAGCAGCAGTGGGGCAACAATAGCATCAATATCTGACTCACCACTGCAGGGGCTGTGCGCTCAGATGAGGCTGGTAGTGATTGAGATTCAGTGCGGTTACACATTACAGTACGTCTGACAGTTACCCCAGAAAAAAAAACACAGACACAAAAAAGACTCTTAAGAGTAGGATATGTGTCTTTGGCTTCACACTCTTTCATGTGGCTCTGTCTTTGCTCTTGTGAAATGAAAATAGAGGGTTCATGGGCTCTGCATTGTTGCAACATGAAAGGAGTTATTCAACAGAAAGAATGTATTATCCTTGAGTCTTTGTGACTTGACCTTACATTTATAATTATACTTATTTTCTCTTTCTCATATTTACTGACTGTCTCCACTAAGGAGGTTGTGTTTTCATGGGCGCTTTTTTGTCTGTTTGTACTTTGAGCAGGATTATGCAAAAATTGTGAGAGGAATGAACATGAAACTTGGTGGAAGGGTGCGGTATGGGTCAGGGAAGGATCCATACAATTTGGGTTCAGATCCATCTTTTAATTCGCAGGAGTGAGTAAAAACTTCTGGATGGATTAACATGAAATGTGGTGGAAGGATACAGTTGTGGTGAGGGAGGAACTTCATGGATCTTGATTAAAAAAACATGGCCTGTTTAGGGCACTGACATTTATGAGTGTAGATCCAAATAAAAATGTACATTTCATAAGTTGACTGTTGGAGGGCGCGATGCACCGAGTCTACTTAATGTTACGTGTTCAGGTTAAAAGACATGCCGCTGGCTGATATATCATTTGCAATGACCTCTAAAAACATAGTATATACTGTATTTATATATTATTATTTTTAATAACTTAGCTAACATAAAACGAGTGCCATTGTAGTTCCATCATATTTCCCATTTGTTCCTTGGTCTGTGCTCATTTTCAGTTGAAGGAGATTTTTTAAAATCTCTCCCACTTCTCACACAGTTCAATTTCTTTCAAGCTGCAAACCCTCGGAGATCCTCTCTCTCGCCTCAGTTATCTAAATTGACTCCCACCAGGAGGTGTTTGTAAGTGGATCAGTGCTGGAGGAGTCTTCCAGCTCAGTTTTATGTCATCGTGAACCCAAAAATCTGTCTGCGTGATATTGAGCAATCATGAAAGTCAGTCAGGAGAAGACAGGGCACTGTCATCTTGACCTTTTTGTGTATATGAACTAATAAGGCACGAGTTCATGAAAGAGGTAGGAAACCTCTTTTCTTTTTTCAATAATAAATTCAGAACTAAAACAAGCTACAGGCTGTCACAGGTACAGATTTTGGAATTTATTCTTTCATTTTTTAGGATTTGCAGTTGAGTTAGAAGTATTTAGCTGTATTTCCTCTCATATTTACAGTGCATTATTTAATTTGTTTCTTCAGCGGATGGTTTCCAAGGGAACACTCTGGATTTCAGTTGAAGTGGCATCTGGTTCAGTCTGACCCCCTGCACATCTATTTCTCAGTACATAACTCAAAGTTCAGAGGAAAACCACATGAACAGGCACTGCCGTGGTCACGCATGACTTCATCAGAGCATCACATTGAATTAACTGCAACATTTTGTATTTGAGGCACATTTTGAATGATTTTGTACCATGAGCTTATTGAATTTCAGCGACTGGCTGTTCAGGATTTGAATAATAAATAGGGTTTGATGAAACGTCCTCAACTCACCTGAATGCATGAACACGCTCCACCAAGAGGGTTATGTTTTGTCTCAGTGTGTTTGTCTGTTAGTTGGCACGATTGCAGAAAAACAACTGGAGGGATTAAGACAGTAATTGTTGGAAGGCTGTGATATGGATCAGGTAAAGAAAATGTTAAACTTCGGTGTGGATCCGCATCAGAGAACAGATCCAAGAGAATTGTCTTTACTTTCTTTGATATTGTGAGATAAGGCATTTTTAAACATTTTCCTTAATTTGTCAGAGAATAGTTTGTGGATCTTTATGACAACAATCAGGTTTAGTGGACTGATATTTGAGTGTGTGCAGTTTGGTGCAGCTTGATTAAACACGAGGAAGCTGTTGGGCTCGGTGGACGTACACACTTTACTGTGAGTCATTCTAGGTCAAAATTCCACTCAGTTTTATTTTTACAGCAACAAATCATAATATACAATATCTCAAGGCACTCTACATTGAAGGCCAAGACCCTATAACCCTGGAAATTATAGAGAAACCCAACAGCTCCCACAATGAGCAAGCAAATAAACATTTCCTCTTCGAAATGCAAGTATTCACAATCTGTATTATGTATGTTTTGTCATTATATCCACCGAGGACATTATGTTTTCTTCAGGGTTTAGAGACGAGAAGCAGGTCGTCCTCAATTCGAACACAAACACCTTTTATCGATTAGTCGGTGATGCACAGACTAAAAAGAATCACTGTTTACACCTTCAAATCTTTTTCTTCTCAAAAACCAATAAATTAATAAATGCATTTAAGCTGGAGGCAAGAAGGTGGGATGAGTGAACTCTCTTCTTCCTCCTGTGGTTGCACTGAGGACCATTCTTCTTATTTGTACATGCGTCTCTTTAAATCTGAGACATTACTCACATCTTTAAGGAGGGCAAAGGTCAATGCCACTTTGCCCTGGATTACATTTAATCAACGGTCTTGCATGACCAGAATACAAAGACTATTATCATGATAACTACCCTCGGTGTGGCCCACAGGCCCCTCGGTAAATTCATTTATTTTCTTCATCATTTCTGCCAAGGACGTTATGTCATCAGCTGCTGTCTTGTGCTTATCTGTTGCTTTTTTATTTGTGAGCATGATTACAAAAACAAGTAAGTGACTGATTTTGGCCAAACTTGAAGGAGAGAGGTGTCAGTTTTCAAAAGGCGGTCTGGATTTAAAAGTTTGTAAGAAACAGAATATCTTGTTTTCTTGTTGTCTCTGTTCTCTGAGTTAATCCTCCAGGCCTCTGCCAAATGAAGACAGATTAAGATCTCATTAAAACAGAGGAGTTCTCCATTTGGAAGATGCTGGGCGACATGTGTGATGCCCAACTGCTGTGTGTTTGGGGAAAGCTGTCAGGGTGTGAAAACGGGGAGGAGATCGTAAATGAGCACAAACAGCTCAAGTTCTCTTGTTTACTCAATCTCTTGACTGACATTCCCTGGTAATAGTCACAATATACAGAAGGTTTAGCAACATTATCACTCAGGTGCGACATTAATTAGATAAATGAAGGTATTCTGTTATGTTTGTCTTGCGGATAAGACACCCAGCATGTGCCAGGAACATGAGCAAATCCTAAAAATACTGCTAGCACTGGAGCAGAGCATGTTTTCCGCTCCGTGTCACAATGTGCAGCAGCGATCTGAGTCCTTCAAATGAATCTGTACACTGCAGCTTCTCGATTAAAATGTCAAAACTGGTTCAATGCACGAGTCCAGCTAAAAAGATAGAGTGCTAACACACATGGGAGGCGACGTCATGAAGGGCTGCAGCTTCCACACGCATTCATCCAGGAGCATAATAAAATCACTGTGGTGGCTTAATAAGCAAAAATAAAAGGACAAGGTTTTACTGAGCCCATTATTAGAAAATTATGTTATTTGGGGTCGCCTGTTGCCATGGAGAAGGGACATTTGAGTGTAACAGTCTGTGTAAGAGAAGAAGTGTAAATGAACACAAAGGAGGGGATAAGACCTGTTGTCAATTCAGTTCAGTCTTTTGTTTAATCTGCAGAAGGACAAAAAAAACCAGATTGTGTCGTATCATTTTTTAAATATTTCCTTGTCTCAAAAACACATCAGCAGCTCATCTGTGTCCCTTTATCTCCGTCTCCTCCTTTCTTTACCTGTTCATGATGAATAAACCAACAAGGGATAATGGCTCTCTCCTGGATCGCCTCTTTGATGAGTGACCTTAATATTCTGTGTGTGGTCGATGATGTGGGACACGTTCGTCTCTGGACCTTGCAGAGAATTTCAATTTGTCTTCATCCAGAAGTGACAGACACATCCCAAACACTGACCCTGCTTTCTGTTTACTTTTCATTCACTCTTTTTGACCTACTTTGCTTTTTTCTCGCTTAACATAAAAGTGATAAAATAACATGAAACTGTTCTGTGATTTAAAATCATAATGGTACAACACTGTATGAAAAGGTCTATTGTTAATGTGTTTGAATAGCAAGAGCATGTGATGAGTCTGTATATGTTTGCAAATGAAGCTCACAGCAGTGCATGGTGAGTCCAGTTAGCAAGGAAGGAAGGAAGGTCAGAGAGAAGAAAAGACAGATGGATGGATGGAAGGAAACAAGGACTGAAGGACGGATGGATGGAGAGATGGTTGAGGGAAGGACAGAGGGAGGGAAGGAAGGAAATAAGGAAGGAAGAAGAAAAGAAAGAAAAGTCTGTGGACCTTATCAGTGTCAAGCTCTGACTGTTCTCTAGAGAACACACACACACACACACACACACACACACACACACACACACACACACACACACACACACACACACATTAGTTTTGAATGACAGCAGGAGAATCTGCTCTCTAACACATACACATAAAAGTTGCATCACATGTTTGCACATATCCCTGCATGTGGCCTCACGCTGCCCCCTACTGGTGCACTGGAAGAAAGCATCACTCCTTTCAATAAATGAATTAATGAATTAAACGATGATGTCTTTCAACACGTAGAATTCCCATAATGCACCCCACGCCCCACACACACATACCCCATCCCCCTGCTAGTGTATGAATGGAGGGCTGGCGCGTGTCAACCCCCCCTCACAGCGCACGAGCCTTCTTCCATCAGCCTCTCAGCGGGCGGCGACAGTCGGGCACGTGTTTCTTCACACCTCTCAGCCCAAATGGCTGCGCACACAGATACCGAGAGGTGAAGAGGTTGAAGAGTTCAATTAGGTTTTTAATTAACGTTTTAATTTAATAAACCAAACTGAACCATCACTCAATTCATTAGACCTCAGTTAATTAAAACCTCCCTGGTACAGACTATAATCAAACCAGCGTGCGCTCAAAGCCTTAAAGGTAGCACAGTGGACACAGTGAGCGAGTGCGTAAAGGCCTTTGAACACTAACACAAGTAAAAACAGAGCTCATCATTAGAAAACAGTCTCAATCTATAAGGAGAAAATAATCGTATGAGTGTAAATCCTACATTCAGGACTGAGGCAGAAAGTGGCCAAATGCTCGGGGTTTGCCAAAGTGTGATTTCGCACCTCACCATCGTGGCGCATGGAAACACTTGGGGACGCGTCAAAGCGCAATTTGGCACCGGCTGCGCGAGGGCTCTGATAAATAGGAGGTTCCTGGCACTGCAGCCTCACATCCTCTCAGGACTTTACGCAGGACAGACAACCACAAGGAAACCATGGAGACCTTCCCAACTAACGGTGGATTACCTTCTGCTTTTAACGGAGACAATGTCAGCACCCAGCAGTCCGACATGTGGAGACCGTGGACTGGAGAAGACAAACCTGACGCACACAAGGTGGGTTTAGTTCCCTTTTAACTCTTAAAGTCTTTAAATTCAAACATGCATTTTCAATTTTAATGGATAAAAAGTCTAACGAGATAACGTTTTTTTAACTTTCAGATTAATTCCATACATGGAGACCTCTCTGATCCAAAGTCCTCAAAACCTCCTCAATTCGTGCACCCAGTCAAGTAAGTTCTCTTCATTACTCCCCCCCCCCCACATTACCATTATTTCTAATGTGCTGCATCCCCCTGTATGCATCGTGTATTGATTATTGTTTCCTCTTGTTATAGGTTGTATTGGCCAAAGTCGAGATGCTTCGATTACCTGTTCCAGGACGCAGAAATGCTCCTGCGCAACTATCCGGTCCAAGCGACCATCTGCGTCTACGAGGACTCCAGCAGCGATGAAGACAGCGACGATGAAGAGGAGGAGATGGACAAGGAGCTGAACTAACTGTCTCCTGCAAAGACTCTCTGAACTGTTCCCTAATGTGACAATTTATTTTATTATTGTTAATTTTATTATTATTATTCTATTTCTCTTAATTTATTCATGTACATATATGTAAATACATCCTCGTTTTGATACTAAGCATGACGCTTTAAATTATTCATTTTCTACCTGATTTGTATTTTGTTGAGCTTTGCAATAAAATGCATAAGAAATTATGTTGATGTCTGGGATCTATTTTTGTATCATGTCAGACTTTAGGGAAACTTGGAATCATATTATCAACTGAATTGAAAACAGATATATTGAGGTGTTATTCTGTTGAGTTTCCTGGGTTTGGATTATTCATTAAAGAGTTTCTAAACTCTGCTCAACACATCCGCCTGTTTAAGGGCTGAACAGCTCTGTTCCCATGGATAAGTGCAAAGTGGTAAAGCCGTCACTTCCTGCCCAGTGTCGCCTGAAGTGTGGAAACTGTTTGTCATGTGGAAGGTGCCAATAACAGCAGAGATCTGGACGGAGACAGAGGCAGAGGTGAACGTTCTGTCTGTGTGTGGACCTCCAGTCAAATCATCTTTAAAGGTCCAGTGTGTAAGATGTAGGTGAAAGGGAACAATTGGCAGAAATTGAATGTAAAATAATCCTCATGATGATTTCACTAGTTTGTTTCATCTAAATTGTATGAATTGTAGTTTCCTTTATCCCAGAAAAGACCTTTTATATTCAAATACTTTATATTTACATCGAGGGGACCCTCTCTACGGAGGCAGCCATGTTTTTCACATTAGTCCAGACTGGACAACTAAACACCTTTTGAGTTTTTATGACGACTGAAGCTGCCACAGGTTCTCTCTCATGTTTGGAGGGAGAGGGTGAGGTGAGGGGTGTTCAGCTGCAACATGCAACTTCAACACTAGATATCACAAACTTCTACACACTGAACCTTTAAGACTAATAATAGTTTGGTAAAATCAATATTTTGTGTAATTGTGATTGTGAAGCTTTACACAGAATTAATTTGTCATCAAAAGGCTCCGTGTGTTCTCTCCTCCTCTCAGTAGATCATGAATGAATGGATGAGTGAACCACATGAACGATCGACTGAATCCACAATAAATTACATTTCAGATTGTCGACAAATTCAGTTTAAACTCTGACAGAACAATTCATCATGTGATCATTGGAGCTGAATTCAACCATCATGACATCCTGAGGCACAAATAAGCTTGAGGGCCTCTAATAACCCGCTCTCCCCCCTGTACAGGCATTTTGTACTGTGTGCCGTCCACTCCACATTTCTAAGTGCTGCAAATAAGAATGCACCACAACATTACGATATATTACATCCAGAGATCAAGTGAATCGCAACTACTATCTCTGTGTACTCGGTGGATTGTGAAAATAAAAAATGATAAAGCAAAAAAGAAAGACATGAACTGCAAATCAGCTGATACTGAGCTGTTTTGGTTTATAAAAAATGTTCAGCCATTTAAATCCAAAAGAAAAAATGAGAAGCCACTGAACATGTTGGATTTTCCCACTGATTATTGAAGCAGCACTTACAGTAATGATCCTCTGATGCAGTACTCCAGTATAATGATGTGATGTAGAACTTAAATGAACACAGAGGTAAAGTACTGCAACAAGTGTGTCATCCGTCAGTCCAGTGCCTAAGCAGCACAAATTTAAAACCATATGAGATAAATTCTTTGAATCTGCAGAGAAAAAGATTGGAGTGTTTAAATGTCAGTGGGTCTTGAGTTTCTGACTTGAACTCTTCAACTCACCCTGGTGTAAACCCTGCGAGGAGTTTCTGTGGGAACCCTGGAGATCACCTCTGGGTGTTGATCAGGGTGCAAAGTCTAAACACCTTCCGTGATGGGAGACACGGCGGCCTCAGGCTGCAGCAGGGCGCCGTGCACTGCCACTGAACCGGTGACCTCGACTGGATAGACTGTTCATTCAGATTGTTTTAATGAATTGACGTGTGCACTCACTTGTTATGTTTCACTGAGGAATAAAGCTGGTTGTAGATGTCGCCTCCATCAAGACTGCAGAGGTGTGAAGAGACAAACACAAAGATGTGCTGCCTCCTGGAGGAAGATATTTCAAAGTGGCTTAAAATCACAATCTGAGCATCACAATACAATGTAATGACCACATGGAGGTCTGATATCAGGAGATGTGATGGAGCTCTGATAACCTCTGTAACCCCGGCCTGGAACTTCCCAGGGTTTGGTGTCAGAGCTTGTGGAGTGTCACTTACTGGGGTGTGAGATTTACTCACCTCCAAGAGTTAAATATAAAACCAGGGGCCCCGTCTGACGAACTTATAACCTCCAGTGCACAAAGTTCAGGTCAAGTGACGTATAAACCCTGCAGCTTCTCACTGGATTCATTCATGTCAACATAACATCTCTGCACGTTTATAGTGTGTGTGTGTGTGTGTGTGTGTGTGTGTGTGTGTGACAGAGTCTGACCACCTCCAATATTATAGAGGACTGAACCTGCCAAAATTATATATGTATATATTAACATTTTCCTATTTATTACTGTATTTTTAAATTATTAAATTTCTATATTTATCCATTTCCACATCATTTTTTCTTTATTTCCATATTTCCAAATGTATTTATTTCTGTATTTTTTCATTATTACTTTGATTTTTTCCTACGTTCTTTTTTCTGTATTTTTATATTGTCATATTTCTTAATGTAATTGTACATATCTATATCTCTACATTCATTCCATTTTTTACTTTAGTTTTATATTTCCACATTTATCTATTTCTGTATCTATTGTTCTGTTTTGGTCGTCAAAACAATACATGTGATAAATTAACATTATTTAAAAAGGAATTCTTTTCTCTGCACCATCTTCTTGTTTTGGACTTTTCAGGCACATGCCGCCTCTTTTCCCAGGAGCTGGTGTGAACACGAGTGTGAGGAATGCACACCTCAAGGTACGGACAGTGTTCGATCCCGGGGTCGACCTCTGTGGTGACACGTGTCACCACTGCCACACACCCTCTCTCGTACAGCAGCTCCTCATGATCAGCTGAAGCCTGTTATAAAAATCTAAATATATTGATATCAGCTCTTCACTCTCTTGTTGTTTGATTTACTGATGTTCGTACATTCTACTCAACTGTTTCATTTCCTTTGCAGGTGTTTTAAATCAACTCAATTCGGTGAAGCTCAAAATTAGATATTCATAATTATGCTTATTTTCTAAATTTCCACTGCAGAGTTTCCTGTTTGTAATTTCTATGTCTTTATTTTTGCTGAGGGTTAATCTCCAGAGAGTGAGACTGGTGGCATGACCCTGGGAACTGTGCTCGAGCTGCCGCAGGTGCGATCACAGACACCAGCCGAGGTGACGAAGTGTGACTCGGCCGAGCTGAGGCCTTGGCCCACAGCTCCGGCTTCCCACCGTCACACCTCTGCAGAGAGCTGGCTGTCCTGTCGAGACCATTTCTGACAGTCAGCAGTTTATTTATGACAGGTTGTGCAACATGATTGTGCCTCAGATGTAGTTCTGCAGTCAGCCAGAGGGAGGCGCTGTGTCCCCGCTCACCTACGAGTTTGAGTTTAAAAAATGGCCACAGACAGGAAGTGCTGGTTTGAATGGAGAAAGGAAAATGTGTGTTTGGAGCAGAAAGTGTTTGGTGGTTAAATGTTAAACTTCTGTTCATGTGGAAATATGAGTTTCAAATGGATTTCAACTGACGAGTGAAGCTGCAACAGTAAGTGTCTTTAACTTGAATGTATTATTATTTAGTTTGGTTGATTTGCTGTGTTGCTTGTGGAGGAATCTTTAAAACAAACGTTGAAATGTTTTCCTTAAAGACTCATCGGTGCCTATCAAAGAACCAGTGATGTAATATATTGAATTCACTGTGATAATGTTTGTGTGGTGTGAAACAACCTGTGTGATGGTGTCAGGTGTGAGTCACAGTCCAGATACCTGACTGTGTATTTATACTAGTATTTGTACTTGAATACTTTGTGTTCATGGTTGAACCAGCAGGATTTAAGTTTTCTTCTTATTCACAATTTAAAAAAAACCCGCCAGAGTCCTGTCAGGGCCCAAATCCACGTTTTCTGCAGAGTGCAATGAGTGCATTTGACCAGCAGATGGTGCAAGGGAGCCATCAACTGCGCCTGGTTCCTGTGGTGCAGCTTTGCAAAGCTTCCACCAGGGGGCTGTGTTGCACTGGCGCAGTATTAAATTCAAGGGGAAATTCAGACTTTTACATTTACCGGGGTTTCATTTATTTTTCAAAAAATTCTGCATTTTACAAAAAACATGTTTATTATATTAAAACGTAAAATCAATTTGTTATATCTCTCACAAAACGCATAATTAAAGATTAACCCATCTAATAATGGTCGCAGGTTATTGTTGCTGTTAGAAAATGGTTTGGATGTTACACAGCTTTTTTAAAGCAAACACATTTCAATAAGTTTCAAACAAAATCAATTACCTACAAAAATAATTTCATCCCTCGTCAGGGCTGAATTCCATTTGTGTGAAATGCTGAACCAAAATTACACATTTTATTTTGTTTTATCTACAGGTTTCAGTATTAATTACCTTTTAGCTTGTAAAGCATGATAATGTGCTTTCAATATAAATTCTATATTGTGAATTTATAGATTATATATTGGAAAAATAAAAAAAAACCAATATCTACATTTAGGGAATTTATTTAGTTCTTTTTTTAAAAGAGAAAATATCAACTAAGATTTTTATTTATTAATAGAAACTGTAAAACTTATTATACCTTATGATATTGCATGTTTATATTACTGTGTATGTTGCTATATTTGTTGTAGTTTTTTATTTTGCAGTATTTTACAAATTTTCCATTTTTTCATTTTGGTTTTATTGAATCATTGACTCTTGTTGACAATCTTATAAACACTGGAGGTGTCACAGCTCTGGTCCAGCTCCTGTCATTCATGCGTTTCTCTCAGCAACGTGATGCACGAGCAGCAAACAGGTGTGATGAGCGAGTAATGAAGCCGAGCACGAGAGGCCCAGATCTGTCAGAGGAGAGAAACCACAGAGTTGCTGCTGCTCCTCTCTGCACATAAACATTCTGGCTCACGCCGCCGCCTAAGAGATGTAGCTGTTGTGCTTTTCTACTCCTTGTTATCTCGCCCTCCACTTAAATAGTTAGTTTGGTCTCCTCTCTCTGAGATGTGTGCAGTGGAGATAATTACAATTTCAGCAGCGTTTGCCAGGTGATTACCTCATAATCCCCTATTTCATTTGATAAGTCACGCATTGATTTAACTCAGAGTTGGACCTAATGGAGTATCTTTTCCACCGCCACAGTGATTTGTATGCTGGGGCGAAAGGACAACGGCGGATTGGAGGCAGAAAAACAGTCGCTTGCCGTTCCTATTCGCTCGAGTCACCGGTGAAAGATGAGCAACGGAGAGAGGCAGGTTTAATCACAGAAACCTGAATGCAAACAGTAAATCACCGCAGTGGCTGATACAGTAATGTGGCCTGGTGTTGTTTAGAGTTTCTCTTTTTATTTTCTCCCCCCTCTCAGACAGGGAGGGAGGGAGGGAGGGAGGGGTGGAGTGATGAGAGCGGTGCATGAGAGATAAGGTGAGTGAAGGGAAGAGAGGCCTGCTTGGTATTCACCTGTCTCTCTGGATCAATAAAGGTAATTTGGGCTGATTCCTCCCCGTAGGCCTCTTAGCAGACAGAAGGGGAGAGGGGTCAGCCACTGCTGAGCTGCGGGAGCTGGAATAACTTAGAAACACACTCTGCAAATTACTGCCCCTGTTTGAGAATCTCTCATTCAGCTGTTCCTCCGGCGTGACGAGAGCTGCAGTGTGATGCATAGTCCTCACGCAAATGTGACCGGAGCTGTAAGACGGGCGTGCAGCCCTGTGGTTTTCCAGGGGAGATACCCGTGTGTGTGTGTGTGTGTGTGTGTCGCTGCTTTCAGACGTGCAATGAAGCCTGAATTTTACCGGAGGGGCTCTGTGTGAGAATGAAAATGTCCGAGTCAGTTGCTTCGCAGATTTTCCAGAAAATGTAAAAGTGCACAGCGAGGGAGTGGTCGTGTCAGTGATGCTTCTAACACCTGATGGAAGCAAAACTGACGAACTCCGAAAACCACGTACACGTAGAAGACACAGATGAAGATATCAGCGAGATTCGAGAGCTGTTGCCGTTAAAGGTTCAGTGTGTAGTATTAAGTGACATCTGGTGGTGAAGTTGCAGCTGGTCACCCCTCACCTCACCCTCCCCTTCAGGTGTTTAGTTTGTGCAGTCTGGGCTACTGTGAAAAAAAAAAACATGGCGGCCTCCGCAGAGAGGACCCGCTCCTCAAATCTGAAGTATTTAAAAATAAAGGGTCTAGTAGTTTTCCCCCATGGTCCAGAGTTAATGTCTGAGAAATGTGTTGTTTTTGGTGTTGATGACTTAGTTTAAAACTTTATGACCAAAGTGAAAGATTCCCAGGAAAAGCTCTGAATGAATCTTTATCTTAAACAAAGCGAGGAAAGTTTTTCATCATGGCTGTTGATTTTTACGTGTCAGAGCTGTGATGGTTACTGAACAGTTCAAAGAGGCTGTGATACCATGGAGAGGACGGTGTCTGGAGGTGGGAGTTGGGTCAGGCCTCATAAATTACCATGGAAACAGAGGTGTTGGGTAGAATGAAAAATAACTTTTGCAAAATGAACACAAACGTTTAACAACCGTGATTAGGAAACAGAATTAAAGATGTGATTCTACCTGTGTATTCATTAAATCATTATCTGGCAACTTTTCCCATTTTTTTTCCTTCACATTCCTGATCACAACCTCAGCCTTTCGGTCTCTGGAGGCCGCAGCCGGTCTCATCGCTCGGGTTATAGGCATGGAGGATGCCGTCCGTCATTGTGGGGTCACCAGTCTGGTAGGAATGCTCCATGTCAGGGGGTGTCAGCAGTGGAAGGGGCGTCCCAAGGGAGACAGAGCCCACGAAGGGGGAACCCCGACTATGGACGGTCACTGTTGCTTATATTGTGTATTTCACTGGGGTACAAAGGTGAATGTACACGTAAGTACTCCAATAGTTTCTGTCTCCATTTTTAGCTTGTGTAGTATTTACATGTGAGAGCTCATGTTATATGTTAGTGCACTGCATGCTCTCTCTGAAACAGGTTGTTGGTTCAGACTTTGATAAATCTGGTCCCTTTGAGTTTTCATGTTCTTCACAGAAGAGGAGAAAAACAACTTAACTGACTGTGGCCCCCGCCCCGGAAGACTCGTGTTTCCTGACAACGTTGATATCTCTCACTGACTTATTTTATATGAATTCATATTCACGCTTTTCAACATTAACACTAATGCAGTGCTTCTGTAATGCTGCAGTCACACTACGTTGTCGTTCTGACAAACAGGCGTCGAGGACAATTTGGGGATTTATGCCGCTCGGCCCCCGAATGATGTCACACCCAAATAACCCGAGTTGACAGGAACAATGTTTACGTTAGCCAGTTAGCCATTGTTATCATTCGTAATAACGCATTATGCAGCATTTCACGCACACTAACCCTGTGGTCAGACATCTCGAATTGACAGCTGAAACTGACTCACGATTGGTCGAGCGTCTGTATCAGTGGAATGTACCGCAGCGCCATCTCCTGATTGCTATTGACTTTGGCTCCAACTGAGGAAGATGGCGGCCTGTGTACTTCATTTCTGTGTAGTGGAAGAAAGTGGAGACGCGTCACCCATCTTTATGTACAGTCTATGATCAGGAATAACACATTAACACATTAATCACTGACCTCTGTAGATATAGAAAAAGTGCAACAACAACATCAGAGCAACAACATCAGAGCATATGTAGGAGGATTTATTATATGTAACATATTTTAGCATTTTCATTTCAAGTATGAAGGATGAAAATGTCAGTTTTGCACACGTGTCTTTTGACATAAGCGTAATTTTTACAACAAGAACCCTGCTAAACGTCAAGTGTCTTGCATAAATTGCATTAATAGTCTACTTTTGCTTTCCGCTGCCTACTATCAAACTTCCATTATCTTCAGACATCATTAATTGTTTCTCGAGGAAGCCCGTCCAACGTGTGCGGAACCGTTTGAGGCTGACAAGTCATTTCCATTCTAGTACCCTGACCTAATCACCATGTCTTATTATCATTCACATGAAAACACTAATTACAAAGGCAGGGTGAACCTGATTTATGCTAATGGAAACGTGAATATGCGACGGATGCATTAATCTAGAGTATAGGACCCTGCGCTGGTGTTAACTGTGATTAGCATGTGATTACCATAGCATGGGTTATATCTACTGGAGGCCCTGCGTCTGATGGGCTGCTGAAAATCTCTCTGCTCACAGGCAACGAATGAGACTGTGAGTCCTCACAGCAAGAGGAAATAACATTAATAGTACAAAATGAACAATTTTGATTGTTTTCATCGACAAAAATATGCCATTAGCAGCCGGTCCATCTTTAACACCGCCTGCTTGAGGACGAGTGCGGTAACAAGGAAGCTTTTTGTCACGGCTCATTCAGAGGATAAAGATGTAAAGAGGAGTTAGAGCAGCAAAGAAATAGGTTCAAGGCTCAGCTCTGCAAATAACAGAAAGAAAATATAGTTTTTATTTGTGTTTTTATTTCCGCCCCCCACACAAATATGTCTGAGGTGAGGGGAATCTTTTATTGCAGCGTTTGTTTCTAAAATCAACTGTGTGTTCAGC